TAGTGTGTGTGTGTGTGTGTGTGTGTGTGTGTGTGTGTGTGTGTGTGTGTGTGTGTGTGTGTGTGTGTGTGTGTGTGTGTGTGTGTGTGTGTGTGCGTGTATGAGTGTGCGTGTGTATATAGGTTTTTCATATATACTACAGGTGCACTAACCGTCCTGTCGAGACTTTGAGCTATAACAGTTGAATACACACATTACTCGATGCCCCAGGGGCAACATAACCACGATGTATGCCTAAGCAAAACCACTATATCCGCACAATTGGCCTACACACACGCTACACTGCCAACTAACCGCCACCACCAGACATGTCCACAGCTCCCAACCGCTTGCCCATGTCATATATACACTCATAACTCATATCCGCAATCGTACCCAGGAACATTGACCATACACACACACGCACCTTCGCATCATCGCCAGTTAGGCACTTCAGACCTAGTAAGAAGTTGTGTATCTGTGCCGGTTGCAGCACTACGTTGTCGTTGAGGTTGCCCTTCAGCAGGATCGTTGACAGTGCTGTTCCCAACTCGGGCGGCAGTTCATGCTCAATCTCATCCAGCATTCGCCTATAGACAATAAGGACGCAGAGCTTGGGTGTGAAGTTTCGTGTTGCAATTGTTGGTTAGTTTCGGGTTAAAAATGGCTGGAAATCGGGTTTTGGGGGATTTGGGGGTTCAACGATTTGGGGTTTAGGTTTGGCTTCAGCAGGATCGTTGACAGCTCTGTTACCAACTCAGGCGGCAGTTCGTGCCCATTCTCAAATAACGTTGTCCCAGGTCCTTAGGGGCGTATTGAGTGTTGATGGTGATTCATTCCTATATGGTATCACACTTAAAATATCTGGGGGCGTGGGAGTGAAGTTTCGGATTGTAGATGTTGTTATGGGTCAAGATATACAAGCGTATGCGACATACTGAATATGATATTTTAGGTCACATATGCTTTATAAATATACACGCATGTATCGCATACAGAAACCATGGGTGATACTTCGGACCCATTGCGTCGCAAACCCACACCAAAGTGTCGCAAAAAGAAAAAAAGATGTGTCGCAAATGAGTTGAGCATTTATCCGCTTGTACCGGAACACAATGTGCTACCCGGGATAAAAAAACGCCAGCGACGGAGTGGTACACTATAAGATACAGGCTATGGAGAAGCTGATGTGCATTTGTTTGGTGATCATATACACACCGTCATGGACCTATAGATACCCATAGGCGGTACATGACTACCAGGGCCTCTGTTGACAAGGTTGTATACACATGTATGTTTACAATGAATGACAACTGATAGGTTGTATATTATGGAGGGATAAAGGTATGGTATGTGTATATGAGAAGTCGTATATTATGAGAAATGATACAAGAATGGTATTTGATTATGTTATTAAAAATGTGTTCTATGCTTACATATAATTGGTTCACACACAATTAGTTCACAAATAGTTTAATGATACATGCTTAAAATTAGTTTTTACAAACAATCAACAACAACAACAAAAATACTTATAATTGGTTAACACATAATTAAATGATATATGCCTACAATTAGTTTACATATAATTAAATGATATAAGCATACAATTAATTTACAATACTGCGTGCATACCGAAAGGACGCGACAAACGGGCCACCTAGCACAGCCAGTAAAAATCCCAACGGTTTCTCCTGATGTGTGTGAGCAGTTCAGGATGTGTATGTGAGCATACCGAAGGACCAAACGTGTGCGAGTTAGTATGGGAAGTGTATGTAAGCATGTGTTTACGTCCATTCACGTATGTGCAACTGCACATTCTGTGCGCATTCAACTACACACATACCTTAAAACTAGACACCGACACTCCATCGTTGAACTGTCTTCCAAAGCTCCAGGTAGGTACGAACACGCCCTGGCCTATGTCTGCGCAGCCACACTCCCATGGCGAAAGCTCCAGCCACTTCATGCCCACACCAGACTGTTGGGCTGATTGAGGATACGCAATACAAGTTATGAGGATACGCAATACAAATAGTTAAGAGAACAATCGAAATACGTTTATGAGTGGATAAGGGTAGGTAAAACAACAGAGCAATCCAAATACGTTTATGAGTGGTTAAGGGTAGGTAGAAGCATGTGGGTGACTATGAGTATGTTCTAGACTAAACATACGTCTGTGGTTAAGATTCAAGTAATTAACAGACCACTGATCGCGAAGTCGGTTATAATTTCATCATATAATGCTTGTAGGGATTGTTAAGAAACAAGAAGAACAAAGATCGTCGTAAAATAGTAGGCAGGGATGAGTAATAAATACAACCGATAATGGGTCTACATTGTCATGAATGATATATATACATTATATATATATATATATATAATATAATATAATATAATATAATATAAAATATAAAATATATATATATATATATATATATAGATAGATAGATAGATAGATAAATAGATAATAGATAGATAGATAGAGAGAGAGATAGATAGATAGATAGATAGATAGATAGATAGATAAATAGATAGATAGATAGATAGATAGATAGATAGATAGATAGATAGATAGATAGATAGATAGATAGATATATAGATAGATAGATAGATAGATATATATATACCTACCAGAGAAACAGCATTGTAAATGGGCGCAGGCAGCGCCCCCTCCTCGAGCAAGGCCTACAAGGAGTATGAATGAGAAACCATGCAAGTAAGAGATAGCAATTCGTGCCTTGTCTGGATGACTCTCCTACGCACAATACTTACGGAAAGAATAAGTACTTTCGCTCAAACTTTACCTTCGCTCAAAACTTTACTAAACTAACGTACACATATATATATATATATGTCTATGGATATATATATATATGTGTGTGTGTGTGTGTGTGTGTGTTTGTTTGTGTGTGTGTGTGTGTATGTATATATATATATATATATAATCTAAATTTCCATACATATGCAGTTTTTAGTCTGGAGAATACTATACAAACTCTGCAGATGGGGACGTTATTTCTAAAGTGTCGTGTTCTGTAGAGACCCAGGCGCACTGGCTTGTATAGGACCAAAGGTACCCAACACTGCTACTTTAACGTACCTCAGTGGACATAAGCCTTCTGATATATATGGTTTTTCTCCAACCTAACTTGGTTAACGCATACCTGATATCACCTGCACTGGTTCTATCACCATTGTCATATGTATACTGCACGTATACAGCCTACGCTGGAGATGCAGTACTACTCAAAGCGATACTGAAACTAACACGTGATGAACTTATACGTGACTAATACTGTAACATTAACATTCCACGTTAACTATTGATACTTCAACTCGCACGTGAATACACGCAGCGTGAGGTTTATGTACCCTCAGATGGCCAGCTACCAAACTACTACCAAGCTCACTCGGCAGCTATATAGAGACTACTACAACAACCTACTCTGCACATACGTTTATCAGTGTGTCAGTTGCCGTTTGAAGCAGAAGCACAGCAGCACACACACAGGGGACTTGTGTGTCTTATGAGGAGCGTCATACCCTCTCCATGCACAGACACAGTAGGGGGTGCAGTGCGCAGAGATGCGACTGTGAGAACCCTACACTTACAAATACTAATATTAATACAATCATTATTGCACTCGTGTTTATATACATCAGCGCGCAGAGATGCGACTGTGAGAACCCTACACTTACAACTACTATTATTAATACAATTACTATTGTACTCGTGTGTATATACATCAGTGCGCAGAGATGCAACTGTGAGAACCCTACACTTACAACTACTATTATTAATACAATCACTATTGTACTCGTGTGTATATACATCAGTGCGCAGAGATGCGACTGTGAGAACCCTACACTTACAATAACTATTACTAATACAATCATTAGTGTACTCGTGTGTATATACATCAGTGCGCAGAGATGCGACTGTGAGAGACTTACACTTACAACTACTACTATTAATACTATCACTATTGTTCTCGTGTGTATATACATCAGTGCGCAGAGATGCGACTGTGAGAACCCTACGCCTACAATTACTATTTCTAATACAATCGCTATTGTACTCGTGTGTATTTACATAGCGTACTCATACTTGCGTTCCTGGGTGTGTAGTGTACCTTCTGATTGGATAGGTATTGTACTCGTGTGTATTTACATAACGTATTCATATCTTTGTTCCTGGGTGTGTAGTGTACCTTCTGATTTGACAGGTATTGTTTGTGGGGGGCCGTCTCGCTGAGCATACGATGCGAAAGTGCAGAGCTGTACGCCTCCAGTGCCGAATACTCTTCGTCATTGACCAGTCGCTCTGGGATCAGGGATTTTGAGTTTTAGGGTTTTTTGGGTTTCTGGGTTGGGAATTGGGGCGGATAGCCTGTATTTAGTAGTGCTTTACTGTGTGCATATCTATGAATAGACAAGTAGAGAGTGTGCACATTTCCTACTACCGTCATTGGCTACACGCTCTGGGATCAGAGTTTCAAAATTTTATGGTTTCTGGGTTTCTGGGTCTCTGAGTTAGAAATAGAATGGATAGCCTGCATTTAGCAGTACTATAGAGTGTATGTCTCTGTAAATAAACATGAAGAGAGTATGCGCGGGTCCAGCAACTGAGCTACGCAAACGAAGGGACTTTCGCACAATCATGATATAAATGGCAATTGGCGCATATGTTGGCCCTGTGGGATGGTTGCAGCTCTTTTCGGCCGTGGCAAATCAAATATGCGAACCTGTCACAGAGACGATGACGATCTCGGCCAATATCTCTGTACACAACTAAGATATCTTTTACCAAAAGAGAGGTGTGGATACACATTTGTTCGACCGCTTTGGCACGAATTTTATTGGTCATAAACAGCAGCAACAACCAAAGAAACCTACGTTAGCATTGGCACAGACATATACTCACCCAGAGACATGTGTAAGTACAACTTGATCATTTCGGAGTTGTACATGTAATTCGGATCTGATAACATCTGAGGGACAGAGATGGGTTAACGGGGTTGTATTAGTGCATAATTGAGTTGTAAAATGGAATAATGACCTAAATATGAAGCATTCCATTTGAAATTGGGTTGGTTCAGATTTGAGAGATATATACTATAGATACAGATAATCAACGTTGTCACGTATACCATTCTCACACAGACGCAAACTTTCAAGAGCCGCGATAACGAACACGGATCCTTTAGTGCTCATTGATGCTCAAGGACATAAAACACAACTAAACGCTACTATATACATATATAATATATATATATATATATATATATATGTGTGTGTGTGTGTGTGTGTGTGTGTGTGTGTGTGTGTGTGTAGTA